CAATTATGACTCAACTTATAAACAACAATTTAAAAATAACATGGTTTTGATAATTTAAAGTAGCTGTTTTCCAACATATCTTGTTTCTTCAAATGACTTTGAATTTCAGAATTTGAATGTTTAATTCAGTTATTTGAATAATTTAGATATAAATTATAAAATGTTTAGATTGTAGAGCTACTCAAATTTACATTTATGGATTATAAGATATAAACTATTAAAAGATGAGGCAATGTCTATATTATGAATGTTACTATTGTGCTTTACAATTTTTATAAAATTAGAAACAATGCTGATTTTAATCTTTTCACATTATTACATTTTAAAAATCAGATTCATTTAAGATATTTTTAGCTAAGCTGTACATACAAATAATTTATAATATTAGAATATTGTTTATTAATATATTAATATTAATAATATTTATAATAATAATTTATAAAGCAGAGACTTCAAAAGCTTAGGATGCATAAAAAATAGAAAGATCTAGTTGTCAGCAAGGCTTCGAAATACAGTAACTAATTATAGTGGGAATTTCAATTGACAGTTTTAAAATCAAATGTTTCTCATAATGAAATCAGTAAAGCATTTTAAAAGATACTTTGCTTAATATGTGGCAATTCTCTGTTCATGACAGCTAGCTAGAACCTGATACTTCAATTCCTCTGTTGCTTCCACTGTAAATTTGTTGATATGTTAATTTCCTGAAGTGCTATTGTATAGTTAACAGCCCAGAGTTAATACTAGGACTGATGACTAATACATAACAAATATTAACATTAACACATTAACGTTATTTGGCTTTGCCTTTTATATTTTAAAATACCAAACAGCTCAATTTGTAATATTGAATAGATATTTTTCTTAAAAAAGAGCCCCACCATTTCCCAGGGAGGAAGATTGGGCTCAAATCAATAACACAGAGACTTTACTTGGGGCTCTCATAGTATCATTGATCATCGATTACTGTATGTATCCCATTTACCCCTCCTAAATACAAGAATGTCTTTAATTTTTTTCCCTTGTCTAGATGTGTGGAAGGCAAAAAAATCTTTTCTTTCATTTACAGATCTTCAGATCAAAAGTAAGTGTATCAAAGGGATACACTTATCTGGATTTAAGTTAGCTTTGCAATTTTTTGGTTAATAAGCCGTACTACATTGGCATGAGACGATTCTTTCATTGGGAGGGACTAGTGTCTATGTGAGAGGAAACAAATTTTTTTGCCAATTGAAAGGACATGGCTCTTGGAAGTTTAGCCACAAATACTCAGTGTTCATTTCTTTGAGAGGTGATGCCTATGATCCCTACCCTCCCATCCCCCCTTACCCACCTTGAAAGAATGGGCTTGTACTTGCTTATGCAATGAAAAATATGACATAACTTCCAATGCCACATCATAAAAGGCCATGAAGTTGCTGCCTTGTTCACTACAGAGCTCATTCTTGAAGTGTTGAGCCACTGTACCCTGATGATGTCAACAGCACATGGCGGGGACATAGGCAGGCCTTTTAGCAGATAATACCTGCTCAACCCAGCCTTTGTTTCTCTGGATGATAGACACTGTGAACTTCACACTGGCAAGGGCTGGGTTTTTCTGGCAGTCTGTAAAGTTCCTCATGGAGTGCGTTAATCCTTTCAATTCTCTTATAAACTTTGTGTGAACAGACATGAATTAGCTTTTCCTGTAGCCTTATTTAGAACTGTAAATTTTCTTGTTTCAACTGAATACTACAAGTGTCCAGTGAGGATGCTACTTTCTAGCTATTTCAACCTTGAAAATCTAGACCTGTGTAAGTATTGGGAAATTTGAATTTACAATTTCTTTATTCTTCGCTTGACCACATACATTTTAACTCAGTACTTATTATTAGTAGCAGATTTTAGGAAACACTTTTGCGAATTTCAGGACCTCATTTATTACCTAATTTCCTCTGTACACATACTTTCCTTGAGGGATTTCAGTGGCTCAGTTTCTCTGTCTCTCTCTAAAGTCAGCAAAATTTCTGGCTCTTCTTGGGTCTTATGTCCCATACAATGGTCTGGAAAGTGCTTTTAGGCAAAAAATAAGACAATTGGGGGTTATCTCACTTGTCTTCCTTCTCTCTAGGATCAGAGACTTATGCTGTATGTTTTGCCATAAAAACGTCATTTCATATATTTTGTTTAGATTTGAAGTTATTTACAAAGGATGGAAGTTCAATCACACTCCCTCATAGATCACAATAATAAATCACCATTTGAATATTCCTAAGTACCTATAACATTGGCACAGGGCTACGCATAAATAAGGAATATTCAGCAAATGCATTAAATGATATAAAATCATACTGCTATTTAATTTTTAAAATTATTTTTATATACATTTACCTTTTGTCAAATGTCAATAAAACCACTTGATCAAACATTATATTTTATACTACCAAAACATATTTAAACATTCTAATAATTTCAGAAATTTAACATTTATATTATATTTTTATTATATTTATTTGCAATCTAAATGAAATAGTTTATACTCAATATTAAATTTGAATTAACAATTTAGAATACAGAGAATAATTTAGCTTTACAAGCTTAGAAAAGGGCAAGATAATATGTTGCAAACGAGTTACTCTTTTTCTTTTGGTGGTACTGGGATTTGAACTCAGGGTCTCATGTTTGCTAGGCTTCCTAGGCAGGCACCCCAATACTTGAGCCACTCTATCAACCCTGTTTTGTATTGGGTTTTTCTAAGATAGGGTCTTGCCAACATTTTTCCCCAGGCTTGCTTCCAAACATGATCCTCCTGATCTCTGCCTCCTGAGTAGCCAGGACTGCAGGCATGAGTCGTGGGTGCCTGGTGAAAGTTCCTCTTCTTGAAAATCAAAGGTGGACAGAGGGAAAACGTTTAGAAGTTTCTTCTTATTTATCAGTAGATAATTTATAACTATTCCACAATGACTTTTCTTTCTTTACTAATAAATAAATGATGCTTTAAGTCAATTAATAAATTTCTGGGTTATTCATTTTGGTAAATACTTTTTGCATTTCTTTTAAGCTCAAAATTGGTCATGTTGGCACAAATAGGATTGGAAAGCCAGTCAAAACTTATGCCAAACACAAATATAAACAAATTTCAGTTCAGTAAATATGCAAGTAGTTTAATGCTTAGTATGTGCACCACAAAATGCTCAACCATATTATCTATGACATTGAGAAGACTAATGTGTATTATATTTAAAATCATCACTGGGCTGAAACAGACAGTACTGCATTTTCTTGGATAAAATCTTGGTACTTCCTACCAGGCACTGTTTTTCTCTTGAAATGCTTCACACAGACTGTTTTTCACAAGGTTAAGTTTGTTTTTAATTCTCGTTTCTTGGTGTCCTAATTTTTGTATGCTTTTTTTTTCTAATTCCATGGTGTTTTAATTAACCATAAATAGACCTCATTGAGGAGTTGTCAGAGTCAATAACTGAGCAACATCTAAAATAACCAAAGAAAAGACAGTGCAAGAATCTTCAAAAGAAGTGAAAATATCCAACAAGGAATCCTTCAAGAAATAGAGAATTCTTGCAATGGAAGAATATGTAGGTACTTTCCTTAACTCAGGAACACTTTCCATAACATAATCCATTTGCTATTGCTTGGCTATTCTAGGGACTGAATGGACTCTGTCCGTTGCTCAGAATATTTTGTACAATGTCATTAATGCAGTTACACATGTAGGGTAGTGTGTATCATCAATTATGACATGCAGCTGGGCAGTATGAATGTAATTTCTGCTTTATTCTTTATATCCTGTAGCACTTTTTTTCTGACATGCATAGTCCAAACTTCAACCTTAATTTTGTCAATAACGATTGTCACTTCATGAGACATGGAAGAAAGAAGAAAGTCATTTCTCATTGAAAGAGAAATTTGAAGACTGACATGCAATTTGAATTGACAAAGCTACTAAAGTTTACCAAAAAACCTGTTTCTGAAATGAGAATTTTAGTAAAATCATCCAAATGACACAGGAGGTTTCTTTTCTGATAGAATGAAGAAATTCAGTCTTGGGTTTTGTACCCAAAAGATCTTTCCATGAATTGATAAAAATTTCCTTGATTCCAACTGCAACACAATGTTTCAAAACACAATTACTAAGTAGATGATATCATTGCCATAATTATTATTACAATGACTATTATTATTATTTGTAATAGGAGAATTTTTCAATCTGCTTTGTTGTTGATCTAGTAAGTATTTCCAGGCATGACTGATTTACAGAGAGATCTTATAGTACAAGGGTGAAAAGAGCTAGATCTTGGTTTACAAGGAGTGTGATCATGGGGTTGGGAGAGGAGGGAGGAGAGCGTGGGGGAGGGGGGAAGAGAGAAAGGGAGAGAGAGGGAGGGAGGGAAGAAGAGAAAGAAAGGGGAGGGAAGAAGAGAAAGAAAGGGGAAGGAAGGGAAGAAGAAAGAGAGAGAGAGAGAGAGAGAGAGAGAAAGAGAGAGAGTTTTCCATAGGAAGGCTCAATTCCTAGGTATAAGCACCTAGTAAATGGTAAATGGGAAGGTCACGAGAGTTTGCTGTTGTGACCATGACGACGCTAAGGATGCTGCGGTTGCCTTACACAGCCTGACCCAGGCGGGCCAGCGCTCCATGCGTCCGCCCTGCTTGTGAGACAGGCAGCCATCCGCGAGCCGGGGACCCGGTGCGCCCGGGGACCCGGTGCGCCCGGGCGGCGGGCGGCGCGCGCAGCGATCGCGGAGGCTCCGTGCTGGGGCCTGGCCGGGCAGGGGCGCGGCGCTCGATTTCCTTGCCTGCCTCCGCCGCGCCCCTGGTGCGCATGCTCGGCCCCGCTCGGCCCTCGCTCGGATGAATTTGGTCCTGGCGGCCGCGGCGACCCGGGCCGGATTGGGGATGGGGCGCAGGGTCCCGCCGGCGGCGGCGGCGGCGGCGGCGGCGCGGTGAGGAGCAGCCCGGGGCAGCGGCCGCGGCGGGGCGGTGAGTATCCGGGAGGCGCCACCATGGGGCTCCGTAAGAAGAGCACCAAGAACCCCCCGGTGCTGAGCCACGAATTCATCCTGCAGAACCATGCGGACATCGTCTCCTGCGTGGGGATGTTCTTCGTGCTGGGGCTGATGTTCGAGGGCACCGCCGAGGTGTCCATCGTCTTCCTGACGCTCCAGCATGGGGTGGTCGTCCCTGCGGGAGAGGCGCTGACCGCCGCATCCAAGACCCTTTATCATTATGGTGTCAAAGACTTGGCCACCGTGTTCTTCTACATGCTGGTGACAATCATTATCCACGCCACGATTCAGGAGTATGTGCTGGATAAGATCAGCAGGAGAATGCAGTTCACCAAAGCAAAACAGAACAAATTTAATGAGTCCGGCCAGTTTAGTGTGTTCTATGTCGTCTCTTGTATTTGGGGCGCATTCATTCTCATCTCTGAAAACTGCCTGTCAGACCCCACTCTCTTATGGAGGGCGCATTCCCATAACATGATGACATTTCAGATGAAATTTTTCTACATATCCCAGTTGGCTTACTGGTTTCATGGGTTTCCAGAACTTTACTTTCAGAAAATCAAGAAGCAGGACATCCCTAGTCAACTTATCTACATTGGTCTTCACCTCTTCCACATTGCGGGAGCTTACCTTTTGTACCTCAATCATCTGGGACTTCTTCTCTTGGTGCTGCATTATTTTGTTGAATTGCTTTCCCATATGTGCGGCCTGTTTTATTTCAGTGATGAAAAGTACCAAAAAGGTGTTTCTCTGTGGGCCATTGTATTTATTTCCGGGAGACTTGTGACTTTACTTGTTTCCGTGGTCACTGTGGGGCTTCACCTGGCTGGATCTCAGACTCTTAATACTGATGCCATGTCTGGGAATGTGAATGTGTTGGCCGCTAAAATTGCTGTGCTGTCATCCAGTTGTACTATCCAGGCATACATAACGTGGACCTTAATTACCTTCCGATTGCAGAGGTGGATAGAGGATTCTAATTTGCAGGCCTCGGGGGTGAAGAAGAAAAGGTCCACGACTAAAAGCAGGTCTTCTAGGAAAGGCACAGAAAACGGAGTGGAGACTTCAAATAGAGTAGACTGCCCCCCAAAGAGGAAAGAGAAATTCTCATAGTGAATTGCAGACTGATTGAGTCACGTCTCCGTCTCCAAAGGAATCTTCTCTTTCCTATGTGATATCTTTCGTGCTAGAGATTGTTCTGTTCTTCAGAATAGTTCGTGCTCTTTGATTATTGCTATTGTATTGTTCAATGCATTTTTTAGGACAGTTGAGCAGAGGATGATTAAAAGTGGAAACAAAAGACATTAAAACTAAGCTACTCATCATAAAATAGTGTCAAAATAGTTGAGGGATCATCACCATATTTCGTTTTGATTTTTACCTAGAACATTTTCCTAACGATTTTTGGAGACACCTACAGGAATTACACCTATCAATGATTCAGTTTCTTGTTCTCACCCGTCTTTTGTGATCTTAACAAGATTGTTGTAGCAAAGTCATGTTTTTAATGTTCTCTTTCAGGATAAAATGGAAAATCTTACAATGGTGAAAGTCAAATGAATATTCTCTAATTATTAATTTTTTTTCAATTTACAACTGAGAAAAGACGTGTAAAACCACCAAAATAATCATGTGCTTTATTTTATACACAGTGATGGTTAGTGCTATATCCCCATCAAAAAATCAAAATACTGGTAGATAATGTATGGAAATTTATTAAATCTAAACATTTTTAATGAATATGAAAGTATTACTGAAGAGGTAAAATCAATTCTGTCCATTTTAAATACTTGTAAATGGGAGCTCAATTATAATTACAAATTAAAAATTACTGGAAAAAGAAAATCAGAGTTTTTCATTTTTCCTGTACTTATTAAAGTGGTTCCTAAAGAGGATTCATAAATTTGATAAACACAGCATGCCAGAAAAATATTGTTTAACATGTAAAGCCATTTTGATGAATAATGCTTAATGTAGGTGTTTAAAATGAATGTCAAATTACATTTGGAAAAGTTTTATGCACTAAGCTTAAGTAATTTGAATATAAAGTGGATAGTCTTATCTATAGTTTTTAAATAATAATGTTATAATTTTGCTTCTATCTTTAATTGGGAAATAGCTATACAAGACATATTTTGGTGATTATACATATGTTCTATATGTAATTTGTATTTTTACAGAGTCAAAAGAAAGAAACAGTGGACTGTAGGAGGTACGTATGTTTGTCATCCCTTGATCTCCAAGTTGATTTTATTTCTGTTATGACTGCTTATATATTTTTTCAAGTACATAATACTTGAAAGTATTCTAGGGTAAGGGCATTTGTTTCCTGTTTGTTTATATCTTCTCCTATGTGTTCCTCATCTCTTTGCTTTTGATAGCCCTTTCTCAATTCAGCTTTTCTACCCGTTGAGGTTCCTGAAAATTAAACTTAGTATACTTATATAACAGACCTCCGATACAAAGCCACTTTTTGGAAAACCTTCTTTTCTAGTCTGTCTACTTTCACAGATAAGTAATAAAATAGGGTTTCTTCTCTCTTTGATGTAGAATTGACCATTCTACTTTTTTTTTCTCAGTTGCCTGACCCTATAGTGTTGGTAGCACATGCTCTGAGTTCCAAAGTAAAATAACTTTAGCCAACTGTTTTGTAAAACAAATTTTGAACTTCTCATGAGTTGTTTCTCACATCCCTTTTAAAGAGTTTAGCCCATTACTTATAATCCCACTTCTGGCAACAATTTTTTTTTTATAAATTTGCAAATAAGTGCAGACCTGATGCAGACTGGTAAGAAACTGTTGGATAATTTTCGTTTCATACAATTGACAATGTTGAGAGTTAATTTGGGCTTGGCAATAAGTATTATTAGGACCCAGATTGATTCCTCTGGAATTTTTTCTTGGTTCTGGCCCTCTGAAATTACCTTTCTGCAACTGATTGTAACCCTTCTAGGTTTCATTTTTTTCAACACTGTGTGGTAGGGAGAAAGAGAAAACCTGATTTCTAAAATTCCCAGGGCATTGAAGCTTACCTTTGGGGAAATCATTTGATAAAGGGGTCCATGAGGTTGAGTAATTTAAGATGGGTTATTTGCTTCATCAGTGGAAAAAGAAAACTGGTTTTATAAAACATGAGTGCCCAAGAAATAGCAGTTATTGGTAAGAAAAAAAAAGGGAAAAATGCTGGGTACATATCAACTGTTCATGAGTTCAGTAAATATCTCCACATAATGAATGTATGTCAAATAAATTAGGAAAGCAAGATTACAAATAAAATTCAGTTCAATATCAATTGTTAAACCCTTCTTTTAGAAAAAATTATCAGAAGACTCAAGCCATAATAAACATAATGTGATGATCTGTGGACCTTTTAGAAACATATATTCCCATTGTGACTCAAGGTATCATCAAAGGTAGCATTAGTTAACCATGTGAAAGCCCAAATAACTTATAATCAAAGGCCAAAAAGTCATAAAGATGTGTGTAATAATTGAACTCAAAGGGTCTGTTTTGATTTATTAGGTTCTATATTTGTCAAGTGTTATTGCTGAACTATGACTGCAAAGTATAGGTTTCTTTTTTAATTTAATTAATTAATTTTTTTATTTTATTCTTATGTGCATACAATGTTTGGGTCATTTCTCCCCCCTTCCCCCGCCCCCCATTCCCTCCCTTAGCCCCCCAACCCCTCGCTACCAGGCAGAAACTATTTTGCCCTTATCTCTAATTTTGTTGAAGAGAGAGTATAAGCAATAATAGGAAGGAACAAGGGTTTTTGCTAGTTGAGATAAGGATAGTTATACAGGGAGTTGACTTGCATTGCTTTCTTGTACATGTGTGTTACCTTCTAAGTTAATAATTCTTCTCGAACTAACCCTTTCTCTAGTTCCTGGTCCCCTTCTCCTATTGGCCTCAGTCGCTTTAAAGTATCTGCATTAGTTTCTCTGTGTTGAGGCCAACAAATGCTATCTAGTTTTTTGGGTGTCTTACCTATCCTCATATCCTCCCTATCATACCTATCATACCTGTCCTCCCTTGTATGCTCTGGCTTTATCATGTGATCCAAGTCCAATCCCCTTGTTGTGTTTGCCCTTGATCTAATGTCTGCATATGAGGGAGAACATATGATTTGTGGTCTTTTGGGCCAGGCTAACCTCACTCAGAATAATGTTCTTCAGTTCCATCCTTTTACCTGTGAATGATAACATTTCATTCTTCTTCATGGCTGAGTAAAATTCTGTTGTGTGTAAATACCACATTTTCTTAATCCATTCGTCAGTAGTGGGGCATTTTGGCTGTTTCCATAACTTGGCTATTGTGAATAGTGCTGCAATAAACATGGGTGTGCAGGTACCTTTGAAGTAAGCTGTGTCACAGTCTTTTGTGTATATCCCCAAGAGTGGTATTGTTGGATCATATGGTAGATCTATGTTTAGATTTTTAAGAAAGCATAGGTTTCTTAGAGTGGATTCAAAGTATAATTTTCTTCAAAAAAAATCATGGTTATACTAGCATTTAATTAAAAATTTATGCCATTCTTCTTAACAAATAATATGAATGTGTCAGTCAATTTATATATCTTGTAATGGGTAACTAATTTTAGGCCTTACTATTCCCTAGCCATCAGTATAACTATCCATTTCATGTCAATAAGGAAGGAAACAATAGTTTTGTAAATTACTGCTTCATTTGTCTGTTTTTAGTGTTTGTTTATTTGTAGGAGAATCACGCCATTACAATCTATTCTTGGAATATATTCAAATTTAGAGTTTTTACATTAATAATTTAAAGCTTTTCTAAAGACATAACCTATTTAAATCACCTATTAAGTTTGCAAAACAGGAGGAAAGTTTCAACTTCCTGGTCAACTAACAATGGTGAGAATTATTTACGTAGAGTAACAAAAGCCTTTTTTTGTTTTAACCAATGCTTTACACAGGAAATGTCTTGTTGGAACAGTTTCTTAGAGGAAATTCTTGGGGAAAATCATTCTGGAGAATATGTAGTGGGCTGGTACTTGGATCTTCCTTTGAGTCAGAGACTGTCTCCAGTTGGTCCAGCAGACCTCCGAAACAAGGGGAGAGGGTGACTTGCCTGACTGAAAAGAGTAGACAGCATTGGTGAGTAAAAGGAAGTACCTGTTCCTTGATAACATCAACCAGATGGCCAGACATCTTATACTCTCATGTCCTAGATTGCTCTGGACATAGGGAATTTTTCTTCACTACCATATTTCAATCAAATCTGCATTCAGTAAGACACTAGCTAGACTGGATAAAATAAAGTAATACTTTTCAATTACCTTCAGTTATGTGGAAAGATCATCATAAATCCTGCATACAATTCTAAAATACTGGAATTTTCTTACAGTAGTCTGTAGAGCATCTAGATTTTGCCATTTGAATCCTTATAAGGACGTCCTCTGTAGGCCCTGGTGCATCTCTTTCAGTTCCAAGATTCAATAAATGTGGAATGAGTCAAACATTAAGAAAATCTACTCCTGAGGTATTCACCTGCCATTTCCTCTTTCCTCTCAGGTAACATCATTGTATTTTGAGCTGCAGCATTATGTAAGCTGATATTTTTTCATTTTCAAATCTCAAAAAATACACTGATGTATAAACTGACAAGTCTTGAGTATATTTACATTGGTAGAGATATTCAGTGGAATCTGCTTTGTTTAAAGGTTCACTTGCATATAAAAATGGAGAGGATTAAATGGACTTCACACTCATGATGTATACATTTCAGCCAGTCTAGAAGTGACTAGTGTCACCGGTAAAGGATGTGGCTTGTCAATAATTTATGCATAGTACCAATTTTAAATGAAGAGCATGTTATTTCACTAAATTAAATTTACAAAATTCTCAATTTCAGTACTACCAGCCCCATTTGCCAAATCAAATCATGTCAATGTATAAAATAGCATGGTTGAGGAAATAACATAACATTTACTACTAACCAAATGAGATTTCTCCTAAAATATATCTTGCAAAATTCTTATTGCTTAATTAATTACAAAAACAGATGGTCTCTTATCTCAGTCTGAAAATGACTAAAACCAATAAACTTCAAGCTGCCGAAATTATCAACACAAATATTGAAATGTAGTT